TGAGCATTTTCTAGTTTCCAGACAATAACTGTGGAATGGTGTATGGATCTCTCTGAATTTATACTACAAGTTTCCATACCACAAAGGGATGGTAAGAATTTGCTTTGGGGGGTTATGGCTCAAGCCGTTTAGGAATTAGGGGCAAAAAAGGGGGAAAAACAAGGTTGTCCTGGTTAATGGACAAATACTTTAGTACAAAACATAATTTAAAGCAGTGTAAGGGAGATAAATCAAATACATCATAGAAATTATCTCCCTTACACTGCTTTTAAATTATGTATAAAGTAATGGTTAATGAACAATAAAGATAATCTAAAACAGTGTAAGGGAGGTAATCCAAATACAACGTTTTGGTTACTTCCCTTACACTGCTTTTAAATTATGTTTAAAGAAATGCATATTTATAAAGGAAGACCAGTAAAAATATCTGCAAATGTTTTCATCTTTTTTTTTTACAAAAAAATCCATATGAAAGATTTGACTATATATTTTTATTAATTCTATTATAAAATAGATTAAGTTAGCACTATGGTAAATTTAAATGGGTAATTATGGTTGCCAACTCCATTGGAAATTTGAATTGAGATTATGACCATATCTTGAGGGAAAGAATTTTTTTGGGGGAAAAAGGGGGGGGGGGATAAAAAGAAATTGTGGGGGGCCAATTTTTTCTCATTTCAGATTTCAGAAATTAAAAAGAATTATTCTTCAAATATTAAAATATTGAAAAATTTCAAGAAGTAATCTTTAATTGCACAGTATGGCGCATTAGATTTGTAAAATCTTTGATCACATTTATTTATTTGTTATGCCGAATCTAACAGTGTATTTAGATTTTTAATTTTGGGTCCAGTTTTCAAATTGGTCCACATTAATGTCCAAAGGGTCCAAAATTAAACTTTGTTTGATTTTAGCAAAAATTGAATATATGAGGTTCTTTGATATGCTGAATCTAAACATGTATTTAGATTTTTGATTTTTGGCCCAGTTTTCAAGTTGGTCCAAATTGGGGTCCAAAATTAAACTTTGTTTGATTTCAACAAAAATTGAATATATGGGGTTCTTTGATATGCTGAATCTAACCATGTATTTAGATTTTTTATTTGTGGACCCCGTTATCTAATTGGTTCATATTGAGGTCAAAAGGGTCCAAAATTAAACTTTGTTTGATTTCATCTAAAATTGAATTATTGGGGTTCTTTGATATTCCAAATCTAACTGTGTATTTAGGTTTTTAATTTTGGGTCCTGTTTTTTAAATTGGTCTACATTGAGGTCCAAAGGGTCCAAATTAAACTTAGTTTGATTTTAACAAAAATTGAATTCTTGGGGTTCTTTGATTTGCTGAATCTAAACATGTGTTTAGATTTTTGATTATGGGCCCAGTTTTCAAGTTGGTCCAAGATAGGGTCCAGTATTTAAACTTTGTTTGATTTCAACAAAAATTGAATACATGGGGTTCTTTGATATGCTGAATCTAAATATGTATTTAGATTTTTGATTATGGGCCCAGTTTTCAAGTTGGTCCAAATTGGGGTCCAAAATTAAACTTTGTTTGATTTCAACAAAAATTGAATATATGAGGTTCTTTGATATGCTGAATCTAACCATGTATTTAGATTTTTTATTTGTAGGCCCGGCTATCAAATTGGTTCATATTGAGGTCAAAAGGGTCCAAAATTAAACTTTGTTTGATTTCATCGAAAATTGAATTATTGGGGTTCTTTGATATGCCAAATCTAACCGTGTTTTTAGATTTTTAATTTGGGTCCCGTTTTTTAAATTGGTCTTCATTGAGGTCTAAAGGGTCCAAAATTAAACTTAGTTTGATTTTAACAAAAATTGAATTCTTGGGGTTCTTTGATATGCTGAATCTAAACATGTGTTTAGATTTTTGATTATGGGCCCAGTTTTCAAGTTGGTCCAAGTTGGGGTCCAAAATTATACTTTTTTTGATTTCAACAAAAATTGAATATATGGGGTTCTTTGATATGCTGAATCTAACCATGAATTTAGATTTTTTATTTGTGGGCCCCGCTATCAAATTGGTTCATATTGAGGTCAAAAGGGTCCAAAATTAAACTTTGTTTGATTTCATCAAAAATTGAATTATTGGGGTTCTTTGATATTCCAAATCTAACCGTGTATTTAGATTTTTAATTTTAAGTCCCGTTTTTTAAATTGGTCTACATTAAGGTCCAAAGGGTCCAAAATTAAACTTAGTTTGATTTTAGCAAAAATTGAATTCTTGGGGTTCTTTGATATGCTGAATCTAAACATGTGTTTAGATTTTTGATTATGGGCCCAGTTTTCAAGTTTGTCCAAGTTGGGGTCCAAAATTAAACTTTGTTTGATTTTAACAAAAATTGAATATATGGGGTTCTTTGATATGCTGAATCTAACCATGTATTTTGATTTTGGACATTGGACCATAATAGGTAAATTAAAAAAATTCAAGTTCTTAGACCACATTCTTTCTGTGTCAGAAACCTATGCTGTGTCAAATATTTAATAACAATCCAAATTCAGAGCTGTATCAAGCTTGAATGTTGTGTCCATACTTGCCCCAACTGTTCAGGGTTTGACCTCTGCGGTCGTATCAAGCTGCGCCCCAGCGAAGCATTTTATTGTGTCATGAACTCATGGTTTGTTCACGATTTACATCTTCGAAGCCAGAAGAGGCAGTGAAATCTTCTCCGTGTTCATTGTTGGAGTTTCACAGCCTTGTACAATGCATTTAAATGGACAGTGAAATGTTCGTGTTTTGTCAATTTAACGGTAAAATGTCTTCTGCAAAAGTAGCGAATTTAGACAATTCGACACACACAAATATTTTCCATATATATTCCTTGATTTTATTACCCTTTGCAAAATATTTTTCTCTCATTATTCATAATGAAAGATCATCGAGAAATGTGCATTTAAAATTAGTGATTGATTTGTTTGTAAAGTTACAGACTAATTTTTTTAAGATTTAAGCAAAAATGTAGTTTGTAACGTAAAAAAAACTACAATTTTATACAATAAATTATTTATGTTAGAATCACAACATCCTTATAAAAAAGCAAATATCTTTTATTATTTTCTTTTTGATTGGTATTAACGTAATATCATAATCTGTGCCCGAGACTTGACATCTTTGTTAACTACTTACTTGAAAGGTAACTGATATCAGAGGCTATTCATACATATACTTTGGTTTTATTTCTTCTTTTTATGGTCGATAACAAACATAGAGGTGATCAGAAATATATAATGCCAATCATGGTCGTTCATTTCCTAAATAACCTTGTTTAACCTCAGTATTTGTTAATTAGGGTCCAGAAGTATCAAGGTTGTTTTTTGTTAGTGTTGTAAGAAATATCCTAATTGCTGTCATTTTATCCCTGGAATGAATTTTGATATCTTCTTGGATTAAGAATGTGATGGAAGTCTTTGAATTTAGGTATGTGTTAAAATTAGTAAAAGGTTTGTAAAGCAATAGATAAATATATATAAGTGATTATTAATTGGATAAAGTTGTTTGATATTATGTTAAAAATTACTGTAATGTATTTTTGCTTCTGTGCTGTCTACCTTAAGATTTCTTTAAGGACAACTGCACTTTTAGAGTTTTTGATGCTGAAATCAAAAGGAACTTTGCTTTTGAAAATTTATTAAAACATATACTTTTTATGAAAGTTAAAAAGATGAGAATGGCTTATATCGAAATTTCCTGATCAATTGGAATTTTATAGGGTACGTAGGATATTATGTCAGTGTGCCCAATAACCATATTCAGAGTGCTAGTGAGTTGCACAATTGTGTGATTTTTAGGGTATATTTAGTAACTATGAACAAAACATGTAAGGTGTTAGCACAGCCACCATAACCATATGCTTCCTGAATTCTGTAGGTCTTGAAACTAAATTAGTAATGCAGTGCATGTAACATTACGATTCTAAGGGATTCAATTTTGTTAGAAATGACAAATATCTGATAATCATTTAAATAATAAGAAGTTATGTATATGGTAAATTATTTCTCAAAGCATACATTTTAGGGAATTTAAAGTTTCAAGGGGCATATCTTCTGAATGCTGTATCAACAGAGTAAAAGGTTTAGGCCTGTGCGAGTAGGAGAGATGTATTAAAGTGAAGGCCTGGCTTGTTCAGGTTACTGTAGTCATTATAGAAAAAATTATGAAATATTGTAGGCATCATTTCTGTTTTATCCACTAATAAAAGTTGTTCCCATGATATATATGAGTGGTATTACCTCCCTTTGAAAAACAATTCTCATTCATTGTATATTTCATATGTAACTTAACATCACAGTTCATCATTTACATTAGTTGTAGCTATAAAAAGATTTGTAATGATGATAACATTTGTATTTTGTGTTCCTAAAATAACTAATCTACAGGTACTAACAGGTAATTAGTACAGGTACAACAACTTTGTCAGGTGTAAATAGTCATAAACAACATAATATCTTCATGTTGACATCAATAATAATATAATTATCACAGTACATTACAGAATGGAGACTATATGTAACTATTGTTCTGGTAAACCAGAATGGAAGACTTTTATATTGTACTTTAAGAGTATAACAAATTTCTCTGGATTCATTAAATTTTCGTGAGTACCAATTTTCGTGGTTCAAAACAAAATTTGCATACAAGCATTAAGTGAATTTGTATAATGTTGAACACTGAGATTCATAATTGTCTTCAATCTATTGAATTAATTAAACAAAATAAATAGCCCAGGAATCCAGAGTGCATGGTCATATAAGTCATAAAGTTAATGAAAGTCTGAGACCCTGATAACAAGAAATGTTTCAAGAATAGAAAAACTAATGAAAAAATGAGCTTATATAAAATATGAAGCTTATGTCAGTTCTGAAATAACTATATTGCATTTGACCAAAGCCAAGAAGAAGTAGGAAAAGAGAAGAAATAATTGATCTTATTTTAAACCAGTATTGTTGTAATAAGAGTACATGTTTCTTTTGCAGAACATGATTTTGAAGAACAGCTTCAGTTGAACTTCTGTGGTTACCTTGAGAATGAACTTTGTATCCTAGCAACATCAGTTTTCCAGTATTACAAAGACAGTACCTATTATTTAGCCTGGTATCTTATTGATAGTGTGTATAACAGTAATTCTTTGGATGACCTTGAACTTATAAGATCAGACAACTTTGACCTTTCTAATGAAATCTTGGATACTCTTGATGACAGACTTTACACTGCATTAACCCATTTAGAAGTACAAATACCAGAACATTGGACAGTGATTGGTGATTTTAAAACAACAGGTAATCATAAAATAAAAATATCATTTACACCTGTATAGGTTTCATTTTTTATTGCCCTTTTTCAAGTCTATTTAATTCCTTCTATACATCAATAAATTCTATCACAACATCCCGTCTCTTGTGTCTCTAAGGATAAAGTATATTTGGTACTTCACCTATACATGTATAAATTACCATTCAAAAGGGTAAATCGTAGTAATCGTCAATTGAACGGCAACAGAGACTTTAATCATCTCTGATTTGGTCAAGGCTTATTATACATAAAGGAAATATTACCTTTGGGTATTGAAGATTTTTTTATGTCCTGCTCTTATATATATGGAAAAGTTTTGAATTTGCCAAAAAATGGGTGTTCTAAACTTATATCCAAATGTAAAGTGTTTCTAGGATTAACCCAGGGTTTGTAGTTTGTAGTTTGTGTCCAGTACTAAAGGTCACGTCCAGGAATACAATATTTGTCAAGGGATAACATTAAGGTTTGATATGAGTACCTGATATATTTTCATGGAAAGTAGGCGCTTTTACATTCTTGGAGTAGGGACTCTGTGGGATTTTTTTAAAGAAAAAAATACACAAAAAGCATTTATTATTTGAAATATATATGTGGTAGAAATATACTAGGACAAGAGTTTTCATTTTTATGTTTGACCTTTGACCCCAAGCATCTGCCTGATATTCATGAATATATACCTTTTGTCTGCCAACATTCCAATTTACAATAAAAACACACTTAAAAACTTAGTAATATAACTACCGCAGCACACATCATACACAAAATGAGCAGAAAGGATGCAAAAACTAACTTTTTTTTATAGCGTATGACCATTGTACGTGAAAATCTTATTTCGCACATGAAAATACGGGAAACTGTACTAGTTAGCACAAAACATTAAAAAACCAAATTTTCAAATGTTTTGAATTTTTAATTTCCATGTACTTACTATTTGACCATATAATTTACACAAATATCAGTTTCTTATTTTAGAAGTTTAGCAAGTGTTAAATGAGGCTACTATTGATGCAGAAGTCAGTTTGTCTAACTTTTAGGTCCAGGGTAAGAACTGAACCCACCCCCCCCCTATTTCTACCATTTTTTATTATGATAAAATAAAAGAAAATTAGTTTTGATCCACCTTTCCATGTGAAACCCTCTACATCAACCTTAAAGATTTCCTGATTTCAGACAGTAATAATAAATTAAGCATACAAAATCATAACTTGAAGTAAAGCTGCGTGTCTTTTTTTTTTTGACGCTTTTGAGTTATAGTTTGCCGTAAATATGAAAAACAAATTATGTGCATAATAAATATGATACGTGCCTGGATTTGTGTTTTTTATTTTTATTTTTAATTATTTTTGTGGTTACGTTGCTGTCTTGTTACTTTATACATCTCCTTTCATTCATGAGCCAAGATAAAACAAATTATTGACAGTTTGTTTCATGTACAGTGGCAAATATTTCAAACACGTTCAGGATGAGAACAAAATATAAATAGATGTAATAGCTTGGTTCTGTAATAGGGATCGACCGGGGAAAAGGAGGGAAATTTCAACAGTCACCAGCTGAAAATGTGGGTATAATGGATAGGGCATGAATCTTCTCCCTTGCATCAGGCTACCCACGGACCCATAAAAGAGTTGCTGCAAAAATTCTTAACGTGCAGGGAGCGTGGTTCTCTCTCTTCACGAGGCCTCAATTCGTCCCTATTCTAACCCGACGTGGTTGCGTATTCACACATCCCGCACAACAAACGGATGCTCCACTTTGCCAAGGGTTTTACTTGTGTTCGGAGGAAAACCATGTTTCTATACCACCAGTCACCTTTGGGGTTCAAGGATGAAGACATGCTACTGTACATGTCTTGTATGTACAGAAAATGAGAATAACACAGGCCTGTATATACGTAACATATATATGTACAGGCACTCTTTCATACATTCAATTCAAAATATGGACTTTAAATATGAACAATTTCATTATATGTTATGAATTAATCTTAATTTAATGTGGCCATTTTCAAATATTATTATGTTGGTATCTTCTTCTGAAAAAATAGAGCTAAATTTCCCTGAATTGATCTGAGCGTCACTGATGAGTCTTATATGTAGACGAAACGCGCGTCTGGCGTAATAAATTATAATCCTGGTACCTTTGATAACTAATTAGACATCCGGACAATTTCCAAAGAGTCTTCATCATTATCAATATTTAGAGTATGCTATCTTCTTGTCTATACATTGAAGGTCTAACCACAACATTATGACATTTCTTTTAAAAACATATCACCTAATTATGGGTCATAGCTGCAACTTAGGTAGATTGTTACAAGTATGCACATGAACATTTGTACCACAACAATGAAGAAGAATAGTATACTTTACCAAAACCAATAAAATTGAGAATGGAAACAGGGATGGCCAAAGAGACAACAACCCGACCAGAGAGCAGAAAAAAGCCGAAAACTACCAATCGGTCTTCAAAACAGTTAGAAAATCTCGCACCCGGAGGCGGGCTTCAGCTGGCCCCTCAATAATAATGTATACTAGTTCATAGAAATGGACGCCACACTAAAATCTAAATTAATTAACGCTCCTTCTTGTATTTCAGATACAATTCATTTTAGTTATTTTAAGGATGTCTTTCAATGCAAAATTTTGAATATCATTTTATATTTTGTTTATACATACTGTTTTAAAACTGTCCCCTACAACAATATATAGCACTGAATAACCTTTTGAATTAATAGATAGATATGTGTAAATTATTTTGTAAAATCTTCAATATGTATTGATTTAGACTCTAGAATACTTCGGATTTGTAACCGCCAAGTAAAAAAACTTGTTAAACAATAAGATGTTCTATATGTAACACTTTGACATACGCCTCCAGAGGTGGTTTTAAAAAGATCGATCTGATTTGAATCGATCTTTCTTCAAGTGTAAACGCTAAGATCGATCGCAATCGATCGCGATCGATCTTTCTTCAATTGAATGTTCTATTTGGATATAAAAATAAATCTGCGCATGTTCGGCGGCAAAAACACATGTGTTTAAAAACGATGAATGGGAAAAGATTCCGCCGTTTTTGGATCATTCTTCTGAATCGATAAATTCTAGTTCTTTGCTACAAATCCTTATCTTCAAATGCATTGACAGTTTGTTTTTAAGTGATAGTCTTCTCGCATTTCTTTGTTTAATAACTTGTGACGTGTGAACCAAAAAGATAATTGATAACTGCATACGAAATTCCAATGATCGAACTATTTTCTCCATAATTTTGCAGTGTGTGATAGTCCGCGCGAAATGCACTCGTTTTTATTCAATTCTATGTTTACTATTATTTGTTTACGAAACGTAAAGTAATCAGATCAGACCGGTTCTGTTTATGTTGCAGTGTAAACTCACTAGATTAAATAAGATCGATCTCGATCGATCTTGCTTGTGCAAATGTAAACGCGCACTGGTCTTTTTAAGATCGATTCAAATGAAGATCGGTTCAATTTCGTACAAGTGTAAACGGGGTCTAATATTTTAAAGAAGACGTGTTTCATGTAGTATGTGTTCCGTGACACAAATTCAATGTTGAATCAAATGTTTATTATAAATATTATACTTGTTTCTTTCAAATTTAATCAATACTGAATGGTAACAACTGAGGACAATCAATAACAAGCTTTTATAGCCGACCATATGGTATGTTTTTTTCTCATTGTTAAAGGCCGTACGGTTGCCTATAATTACTTACATCCAATTCATTTGAACTTTGATGGATAGTTGTCTCTTTGGCAATCATACCACATCTTCTTATTTTTATTTTTTTTGTATCCATATTATTTTAAGATAAAACATGAAGTTGTTCATTCTTTTTTACTTGTTTTGCTTATTTTCATTTTAATTTTTCGTTTTGACTTTTCTTTTTCGTCTTGTTTTATTTTTGTTTTGTTTTGTTTTGTTTTTTACTTTTGGAAGGGGGAAGGGGGATACTATATTTTTTTCATCATTTTTTACAAAACCTGGACCATTCTAAAATAGAAAACTTTTACGTCGCTTGTATTGCATATTTTGTTTGAATTCAATTATGATAATATATTTTTTCTTTAAAGGAAAGTATTAATTGGTTGAGTAAATAAATTATTTATACTTAACTCTTACTATTGCTATCAATTTTTATTAAGTTATGCGAATTCAAGTGTACAGAATATCCTGCACAGTACCCCAATCTATTTTTTATAAACAAAGGGAATTAACCCTTATCAGGTATCTATAATGACAATATTTCATGAAGTTAGTTTTCGAGCGAATCTTTGTCGTATTTGTGCAAGTAAATATGTATTCGAATTTATAATCTGATTAATTGACAACAATGGATCGTGAATAACGCAACCATTACGTTCGTCAGCCAAGTTTTTAGCAGAAATTGCAAGTTTAACTGACTGCATGATGATGTGAACAGTGAATAAATCTAACGTTACTGCGCTTTTTGGTTCTTTTAATGCTGGACCTTGCCGCCTTTGACGCACTGGCGCCTCGTCAATTCGTAACACATTTACATAAACTGGACATTGTTGTAAAGATAATATGTTGTATATCGCGAGGAGCGATGGATCCTTGAAAAATATGTGAACATGGGGTATCTTTTCGGGGGAAAACTCAAAATTATGTTGATTTTCTTCAAAATTAGACACCTTATTGACGAAATTGGATTAGGATACCTACAAAATTTTACTGTTCTCAACTTCAGGATGATGCATGCAAAATTTTGATATCTGTTTACGATTCTATAAATAGCGCTAGGTCCCGATAGGATATTAAATTGTTGCATATGATAGCGAAAAATAAACGTTGTGGATAATATTACCGAATTTCACATTGTTATGAAATACAGATACAAAAAGGTAAAGTCTATAACTTTTAGTCTAGTTTGAAGAGCTAAAATTCAAGTTCCCAGAGACATTTTATTTTTAACTGACATCGTATGAAAAAGTTTTTTTTTGCTATTTTTACCAACGTCGATAACACCAATTATGCATTACGGCAGATATGAGTTTATTTACGTGACGTTCCGACAGAGTCCCTACTTGGAGATCCTTACATGAAAATGGTGTATATATACATAATCCACTGTTAAGACACATATTCATCTATTTCTGTTTCTAATTACTATTGCAAAAAGGAATGAAAGAGTCTATGATAATGTTTTGAGAGAATTTTAACTTGTTATAAAAATACCATTGAATGGTTGTTGGTATATTATTTGAGAAAACACAAGTCCACAGACCACAGTACTAGTGTAAGCCATCAAACCTAGTACATGTAATATTGCAAATTACTTGCCAATTTCAGCCTGTTGTTTTTGAAATGATAGTGGTGACCAACTTCCAAGAAAAACATTGCTATTCAGATATCCTAGCAAGCATTATTATAAATTCAAATATATATATACTATTTATCAATCTCAGTGCATGTTTAATGTGTAACAAAATAGGTGGGTTTTTGGCTTGGATAAAGCCAATTATATTTAAAACACCAGCAAACACTCGACAATAGTTAATTTGATTTCTTATTGTTAGAGTTATATTTTGTAGAAAATGTACATGTTTTAGATTATTGATCTGTATAGATAATCATACATGTACATATATAAATAAACTCAGGATATTAGTAATTATTTGTGTTCCTGATAGCAATATACTGTTATTTTTCAGGCCGTTTGTTTTAATTGTTTGTTTTTTTATTCCTGTACATTCTGTTGTTTATGCACCATTTTGGTAGAATAAAACATTTGATTTGGTCCTTTTATTTTCTTTACCTTTTGTTTTTGTCCTTTTATTTAAATGAAATGACTTTCATTAAGGAAAGTTTATATTATTTGGCCACTCGTAGATTATTATCAAAATTTGAATGAAATTGAAATTTCCATGAAGGAAGAGATTTTTGATACTGAAAAATTGTCCATGGTAGTACCTTCCTTGAGAAAATTCTATGTTTTATTTCTAAAGGAAGTTACGTAAGAAGTTGAAATGAAAAAAAGATAAATAAGTCATTGAAATAAGTGTGGGAATAAATATGAAAATATAAAGTGGCCTAAGAATGATACGTAGAAGGATTCAGATGACTTGCTGATTGTTTTCGTGTAAATAAATAATCGTTTATTTTACTGGAAACATACACTTGTAATTATTTACAGTGATCAGGATTACAAATTTGGTTCAAGAAGGTAACTTTTAATTCTTTTTTTCAGAATTTATTCTGTTTGCATTAGTACTGTCATAAACAATGTTATGAATTTGTATAATAACAGGATGACATGACTGAACAAGACAATATTAGAAACTAATCACAGTGGTTTTTTATTTATATACATGTATGTTTCACTTGTTGCTTAAGTTTTAAATAGAATAATGTAATGAAGATATTTCAAATATACATTTTGAAGTGTATTAAGATTCACTAGTAATGTTTTCTTCGAAGAAAATTACTTATCTCACTTGCCTGTATTCTAAAAATATGATGTTTACATGTATCTGGATATTTATAAATGTTTTCATGTAATAACAAAATCAATTCATGAAAACAAATGCATATACTTGAAACGAAAATTTCCAGCATTAGCCTAACATGACATGTACCATGTAATATATATATATTTGTTTTGTGATTGTAGATTTAACACAGCCTCCAGACAAGTCAACTTTATTACATTTTACTGCACAGTTAGGATTGATTAGAGTGGCATCCTTTTTCCTGGATAAACCTGGTGGTGATATAGCGTTGAAAACGCCAAATCGCCATGGTTACTTGCCAAGAGAAATAGCAGCAGAGCATGGATATACAGAACTTACAGAATTATTAACTGAGTTAGTAGTTGTATATATTATTGCAGCACCATTTTTATGTGGTTTTTTTTAGTCTGTTTTATAAGCTAGTACTTATATACATGTTGAATATACGTTTGTATAATTCCATAGATGTCCTTTTCATTCCTGGAGAAGTCAATGTTCGTAATATAAACTTCTTGAAAAATGTAGCTGACAGCTTCTCATCACATAAAGAATACATTTGAATGAATTTGAAAACTTCAAGAAAGGAGAAGTATCCTAATACTGCATGCTGCAGTGATATATACCAAATTACTGTAAATTTGGTTATTTTTTAATGCATTTATTTCGATGGTTGAAAAGTGGACAAAAATGCAATATTTATTATTGAAATTTCAGGAAATGCTGCATGCAATTGAATAACACTGTTAAAATTAAAAATGTGATTTTATTATTTTTTTTAAACTGACCTCAATGCAATTTTTGCAATAATAAAAACATGGCAAAAATCTCTAAAATTACAGTACATTGTATATTGTCCTACTACATCTGCAAAGATTGCTTTGTCACTTGGGCTTCTGAATTGCTTTGTACAGAAAAAAATTGTCTGTTTTATCCAATTGTATTTATGTCCTAGATGTTAATTATCTTTGTAAACTTATTTTTGATAGCATGCAGTTTGAAAAAGAATCACTGAAGATGTTTGTATATGTTGAAGTAAAATTTATGGGTTTATAGAGGACCATAATTCATGCTTCACTTTGACCAACATTGAACCCAACAACAATTTAAAGAAAAGTTGTCCAAGGGTATTCTGACAAAATATTGTAGAGTTAAAAACAATTAGGGTGTTCAAAATTGCTGTGATACCCGTATCAGTTTTATGCAGCATGTAACGCTTTTTGTAATGGTTTAATTGAAATCAATAGAAATTTCCGCTTTGTCTTCTTGAAAAAACTATATTTTGAATTAGTACTATCTTTACCACAGTATCTCAGAATAAAATCTAGAGAGCTAATAATTTGTTATTTATCAAAAAGAACATATTATGAAGATACTGATAAAAGTTTCTATTTTTGATATAAATGTATTTTTTTCAACCAAAATACTTTAGTTGTACACATAATTCACATACATTGGTTTATATATACAGTTAACATAGAAAAAGACTCATTATTGATTTATGAAATAAGTAGTCTTATTATAAGTAGCTGGAAACTGTCAGCTTAACATGTTTGTTTAAAATAACTCTTGTTCATATGGATGCTACCACCCCTTTTTCATTTAAAAAAAAATTGCAACTAGCTAGTTTCCTAGAGAAAACAAAAGTGAAGAGTATTTGATCTTTTAAGTTGGGTTTCACAATTTTCTGATGCATTCTCCTTCCTGTTTTTCATGGTATATTTATTGTCGAGCCTTTGACTTTAGTCGAAAAAGCGAGACATAGCGATCCTACATTCCGTCGGCGTCGTCGTTGTCGTCGGCGGCGTCCACAAATATTCACTCTGTGGTTAAAGTTTTTGAAATTTTAATAACTTTCTTAAACTATCCTGGATTTCTACCAAACTTGGACAGAAGCTTGTTTATGATCATAAGATAGTACCCAGAAGTAAATTTTGTAAAAATAAAATTCCGTTTTTTCCGTATTTTACTTATAAATGGACTTAGTTTTTCTGCCGGGAAATATTACATTCACTCTGTGGTTAAAGTTTTTAAAATTTTAATAACTTTCTTAAACTATCCTGGGTTTCTACCAAACTTGGACAGAAGCTTGTTTATGATCATAAGATAGTATCCAGAGGTAAATTTTGTAAAAAAAAAAATCCATTTTTTCCTTATTTTACTTTTAAATGGACTTAGATTTTCTGCCAGGAAACAACACATTCACTCTGTGGTTAAAGTTTTTAAAATTTTAATAACTTTCTTATACTATTTTGGATTTGTACCAAACTTGGACAGAAGCTTGTTTATGATCAAAAGCTAGTATCTAGAAGGAAATTTGGTAAAAAAATAAATCCATTTTTTCAGTATTTTACTTTTAAATGGACTTAGATTTTCTGCCAGGAAACAACACATTCACTCTGTGGTTAAAGTTTTTAAAATTTTAATAACTTTCTTATACTATTTTGGATTTGTACCAAACTTGGACAGAAGCTTGTTTATGGTCAAATGCTAGTATCTAGAAGGAAATTTTTTTTTTCTTCCAGTTAACATTACATTCAGTCTGCAGTTAAAATTTTTAAACATTTATTAGATTCATAAACTATCCTGGATTTTTACCAAACTTGGACAGAAGCTTCTTACAATCAAAAGATAGTATCAAGAGGAATATTTTTATTGATTTACTTCCTCATTTTTGTTGAGCCTGCAATTAACAGAAAAAGTAGGCGAGACACTGGGTTCCGCGGAACCCTTACGAATTTTTGTTTATACTCTCAGAAATAAGGGTTGTCTGTGCTTTGGGACTAAAACTGAATTTTGATGTTCCCTATATGAAGTTATGGGTTTACCCATTTACTACAGATTAAAACTTATTGATATTTTCATGCTTAATTGTCATTAATTAACTTCTGATGTGGAAATAAATTATATTCCAAGACTTTTGTTTACACAACCAGAAGTTATGTATGGTTATTATGTTGAATGAAAATTAATAATTGAACAGTTAAGCAATAAGGCTTTTTATAAATCACCACTTTCCTTGATTGAATTTTGGAGGTATCTTGTCGATTCAAATCATTTATTGCTCAGCTGTTTTGTACACCTTAAGGGCATTAATGATACTTGCTTAATTGTAGCCTACCAAAAGGTGAAGTATTGGTTGCAATGTACTGTTTTCTAGGTCAAGGTCACAAACTTAGTTAAATATAATTCAGCTTACCATATCCTTAATGTACACATATACAATGTTGTATCAAGATAATATCGTTTAGAAAATTGTTGAAATTTTTTTATATTTGGTAAGATTGTTTACCACTACCAGAGGGTACATCTAAAGTCTTTTTGCAAGGTCAAGGTTATAGAATGTTTAATTTTACATACTTTCTATGTACAGTTATGTCAATTTGTTTCAAGTAAATGAAGGGAAATAACACATATATAAATTTGGTGTGTCTGAAGCACTTTCTTGATTGACTGTCACCAGAAATGCTCAAACCCAAAAATATGAAAGTCAAGGATGTATAAAGTTTGAAATCAAATACCGTGTCATTTATTTTCGTTGTTACCAATTTTGGTGGATGGAGAAAAAAATTGTAGTTTCATGGTTATTTGATTTCATGGTTTTAACAAAAGTCTGTATAGAATAAGAATATTTTTTGTTCCAATTAAGGCCCTTTGATGGGCAGAATGACATTCACACACAAATATTACACTGAGAGAATTAGATTTGTTAACCTCTAGAAAATTTATACTTCATTGAACTTTTAAATTGGTAGTTCATGTATGCCCACTACATCCCTAAAAATTATCATCCCACGAATAATAATGAATTCACAGTATTTATGTAGAAAATCTACTTTAATATTCTGGTCTTCTGTCAGTAAATGAATTTCGTCTTGCTTATTAACTCATTAATTCTGTCTTATCTTAATGAAAATGTAATGTGTCATATTTCTCTACCCATAGAACTATGTACAAGTCTTGTCAACATCTTGTTAGCTATGGTTGTAGGTATATTTGTTTATTTCTTCATTAATAACCACTAATCATGATTAGAGCTGTTGTTAAGATTTGTTACTTTTTTATTACAGATACAGTCAGAATTTTGTTCGATTCGATCGTAGACCAATTTTTCATCGCCATGGTATTATTCATTTCCAAGAGAATGGTGATTATACATTGACAACTTATCTACAGAAACCTATAGGTGAGTAGGAATTACCATTTTGATTGATTCTGTTGATACAAAAGAGACAGTTTTAATATATGAAAATCAAGAAAATTGGAATTATATGGGCTGATTATAAAATTCTTGGTGCCCACAGACTTTTTCCTTGTTAAAGTCGAGATAAATAATGATATAAATAATTAGATGTTGAATCCTACATAAGTATATCAAGTGATGTAAAAAAAGGGCAACTTGAATAAATGTCAGATTTTAGGAATTACTTTTTTTAGGTGACAGAATGTAGCTCATATTATTAGGTGAATTCATAGGAAAAATAAATGAAAACAGAAAGTTGATGACTTGAAAATGTTTACTGATTTTCTATGCGCAGATTGTTTTGAATGATAGCTTGAAGTAAATAACATATATAAGTACTGTATGGTCCCAGTTTCTTTATTCTTTAGTTTTTATTCCCACTCATCCCCTCTATCTTGTGAATGATACCAATCAGGAGTGGAATTGTCTTTCAAAACAATACACACAGTTAGTTTTAGTCATTAAATTACATCAAAAGGATGAGTTAATTATGCTAATTATAAACAATAGATGCCTTCAGCAGCAGGTAGAAAGGAATGGTATCGTAAACGAATCACAGATCATTACCATTATTTAATTGTATTATTTTATTACCAAAGTGTTATTACATTGACCGAGAATTTTAACATTCCTCCGTGTTTTCTTGTCCTTGAAATAATCAAATTATAGGATTGATTGATTGATTGTTTTGTCTTTATAGTAGCTCATGTAGTATTTTAGTCACTAAATTTACCAATGGCATGATTTTTACATGATCTCATGATGACTGTTAATATTAACCAGATTTTGACAGTAGAAACAACATTTTTGTGAGAATCTACTCATATAAACATCAAAAAGCCCTCGTGTTGTACAATTTGTTATATTTACCTTTATTTCCCCCTACTGTTACATAGGGAACCAGATAATTACAGTCTTTCTTGTGAATCATTAGCAACAAGAGAATACACAAGTGGTAATTGTCATAGATATCTCATATATATATACAGGCATATATATATATATATATATATATAAACAATATATCTAAACAGGTGTACAAATTCACTACAAAAGAATTAAAAATAAAACCCTTGTCATCAACAGTCCTTTTAGTTCTATCAGATGTTGAACATTAAAGGACAGGCATATTCTGTTCATATGGTAATAGTAATGGGATGAAGACCATCAAAGTTAGGATTTAGATACAGGGTTCCAGCAAATTACTTTGTGCCTAGTCCCAAGTTCTACTTTTAAAAATCTAAAATCTCGTACAATTTTTTTGGGGAGAGGGACTATATTATTTTTTGTGGCCAGGATAGTTACTTCAGATCCTCTTCAGATTTGTTTGAAGGTTTTGATGAGTCAAAACCTCGATTGAGCTCAATAATCAGAAACATATGTAATTAGGGGGCATTTTTTTTATGAAGGGGACTTGTAAAGATACCCCACAATTAAAACAGGGTAGGGCTTCCATTTGTCATCAGATCCTCTTCAAAAATCTTAAATAAGTTTGATTATCAGCAGAATCTTGAATGAGGGACTTGTATTAATATCCAATATTATATTGGGGATGTGAGGTATTTGAGCTTGCATTTCAGAATAAGAAGTCTTCAATTTAGAGATTTATTTGTCATTTGGATCACATCCATTTGTAAAATTGCACATGAAAAGATAACAATTAGAGCCCCTCCTAATTTCCTAACACTTAAGTATTGCATAAACAGATGCAGAATAATTGTAATAAAGCTTTTGTTGGCTTTCATTTATTTATATCGAACCTACTGATGTAAACAAATCTAAAGTGGAATTGTTGTACAAATGTTAATTCTTTGTGTTCTAATTATTGTTGTAATATTGCAGCGGAAGATATACATCTCATACAAGCTTTTGTCGACAGTATGAACCAAAACAATAGTGGCTTAATCCAAAGCCAGACAGACTGGCCAGAACAGCAAGCAGGTATGCACTAATTTTATTACATACATATATCATGATTTTGTGTGTGTGTGTGTGTGTATTTTTCTTGCTTCAGAATTATAAGATTTTCATAATAACATGTTAAAACTCATTTGAAAAAGTAAAAGCTCTTACCAAAAAATTAATATAAAAGTAATAAGATGTGATCTCTATTAATAGTTGCGGAATAGTAGCTCTTATGATATTTTTTGACAATTTGAGGACTAGAGATTCTGTTCTGCAAATTGTGGAAAAATATTATCAGAACCATTAGAGCTATGGCTCCGCAGCTAATCTCTAGTTTGCTACAGTAACAAGATCAACTTACAGGTATGGATAATATTTTGTACTATATGTATTTAATATAAGTAAGACAAGTCATGCATATAATTTCTATAATCCTGATGGCTAATTCAAGTTTAGCAGTAACTCCTTTGACATGGTAGTTATGAAGGACTAGTAGAGTCCAGTTTGATTAATCAGTAGCACTAGTTGGAAGAAAAATTATGTACATTGTACTAGAATACTGTTAATTCAGAAGTTATTGCCAAAAATGTGACTGTATCTTGCTCGCAATAATTAAAACTTGCATTCATGATTTCAGTAATCATTTACCTTTACCAAGTTTTTGCAATCACATTAATTAGATCTTGCATCTTTACCAGTAATGAGTGATTCGCTATGATCAATGCACACATTAATTTCTGAGTTTACAGTATGCACCAGGTAGCCAATGTACTATCAGACTTGGTGTCTTAATCTGCTCATATAATTTATTTGTGTTTAAGTTTCTGAAGACATTTTGATTGTCTTAACAAACTGTTATAACTAGTTAACAAATAACATTTTATCTTTCACAAAAAGAATGTAATGATTATAGAGATTGTTGATGATTTGTAAATGAAATGAATTTCTATAATTGGAATGCAATACCCATGAGATGTCATTTAATATTTCTACTATCTTTTGTACTTTTGTTTTTAAAAGAATCAACACCTTGTCGTGAAAAATGAGTTTATTGAACTGTTATTTATGAAGTTGTTACAATCAATTTTTGTTAATTTTAATTGTTTGTTGAAAAATTATTGGAACAAAATTCTTATGTTTGTACATCACCTAATTTCATGTAAAGACAAAGTTTTGATTTAAAAAAACTTATTTATACATTTTCCTTTTCTACCTTCATTATCTTTGTCAAGTTTTTTAACAAGTGTAAATGATGCATGGTGATTGCTGTTTTTTTATGATTATGAGAACATTCCTGGAGCAACATACAATAGAATTTGATAGCAGACTATAGAATGTCCCATAGTTTTTACATCCTCATCCTTTGGTCTCTGTGGATAGTTGTCTGATTTGCAATCATCTCCTTATTATTATAATACCCCTGCTTTGAAAAAGTGGGGTTATACTGTTTAACCTCTGTCTGTCCGTCTGTCTTTCCATCCGTCAGTCAGTCCCATGAATATTTTTTGTCGCATCTTTCTCAGGAACTACATCACAATGATTTCTGTAATTAGGTTTGAGGGTTTATATAAGTCAGCTATACCGTGTGATGCGTTTTCAGATTCATCACTCAACAACTTCCTGTTTAACAAACACTTACATCATTTTTCACATGACATCCAAGTTAAAAATTTTCATCACATTTTTATCAGGAACTACATTACAAGGATTTCTGAAATTTGGTTTCAGGGTTTATATCAGTCAGCTATACCGTGTGACTCGTTTTCAGATTCATCACTCAACAACTCCCTGTTTACCGAACACTTACATATTTTTACACTATTAAAATTATCCACTTGCGGCGGGGGGTATCATCAGTGAGCAGTAGCTCGCAGTTTCACTTGTTTTTATAGTGACCAGTTTATATTCAATTTATTGATTTCCCACTAAATCTATTTTCCTTCAAAAACTGTCAGCCTGTTTAAGTCCAAGCAAATGGTTGTCTTGAACATGTGGTTAGGTTAGAGTTGAACACTTTATACACTAGTACTCTGTCCATTATCTTGCCATCTCAATTATGAATTGCTGGCCCTTCCGGAAACCAGCTTTATAAAAATATAGCAAACACAAAATATTGGTTTTTGAATTTAGGATATACCAGACCAACACATAGATTTTTTATCTGCAAGCTCACAGGGTGACAGTTCACAAGAAGATATATCATCCTTCCTTTAAACATACCTTATAGCAGCATATTTTCACTGGTGTAAAATTTTGCAATTTTCATTGAATAAGGTATACAAAATATTTTGGCGGATTCAAAACTTTTATACAATACCATTGCATGTGCACTTTTGGCTTAATTTATTTTGGCGATTTTGTTCTATCCGTGAAAATCAGCAGAAAATTTACACCCTGCAAAAATAACCCACTATACAGTATTTCTGATTCTTAGCCAGTCAGTCATTGCTCTTAGTCTTAAATGCTGAGTGATTTATAGTAGAAAACAGCAAATACCAGTTTTAAAGTCTTAAAAGTTTTATCTGGCTGGGGATCAAAACCCACAACCACCTACATTGAAGGTGAGCAAACTACCAATAGACTGCTGAGGCAGTTGGAGAAGATGGATTAGTGGTAGTCTATATCATACACTTAGCTGTATGTTTTTTTATTTTTTCTTGACTTCATTTAAGTTCAGTGTATCTTTACAGTTCTTTGCTGATATGTTTTCGGACTACTCATAAATAAGTTGAACTGTCCTATAATTTGGTTAAAAAAGACATGTATATTGTGTAAAGGTCTTTCCATTAATTTGAGAATAGAGTTATCTGAGTAAATATCACAAGTCAGTGTTAAAGGTTTATTTCAAGTATTGTTTACCCTAGGGAACCAGTGTTATTTATTTTTCTTAGCTGCTTTTAAGTACCATTATGTTTACTGTACAAATGTGAATTGTATAATGACCTCCCTTTTATTTTATTTACTTAACATTTTGTGAACACTACCAAAAGATGAATTTTAACCCATGGGGAGAAAACAAAAAGTCAGTTTCACTTTAGGGTAGTTCCTAGAAGTCAGAAACTGTGTCATTCTTGCACAGTACTTAAAAGACATGAATATAAAGAATCATATAGTATTAAATAGAAAACTAGTTAGTTCTAATATTTCTTATAATAATTTCTAATATTCTATAACATGTAAATTGGTTAGAAGATTGAAAAATAAATTTCCAATAGTTATTGTTGTGGTCCCATTTAAAATAATACACATAGAATACTGTTGAACGGATGTCAGAAAACTTTGTCTTTACAAATCATTATTGCTTACATCTAAATGATTCCTTAGATTTAGTTACCCTGCGTGTATTGACTCTATATGCCATATCAGGACCAAAGTTTGCTACAAGGCATGTAATTGTATACATAGGCTCTCTGTCAAAAAACAAAGTACAAAATATGTGCTCAAAACACCAAATTCAGTATTTAAATCGGTTGATTTCTGAGTCTGAGTACAATAATCATACTCAAAAGTTCTATGACTGCAAGAAAAAGGATATCTTATAAATTAAAAAACGAACAAATAAATTCTTCCTGGCACTTGATGTAAAGAAAAAAGTTGGTGAATGTGAATCAACATAACATATCTGTTAATGTTCCTTTGACAAATAAAACATGAAAATACTATCCTTATTCTAATGAAGGATTATTCAAAGAGTGTTGCATACTTAACATAATCATTTTGATTTATTTTAACATGGTTCATCATTTCAAAGCAAGAAAGAGCACTATATTGAGACTAATAAAACCAATATTATCTAAGAAATATTGCCACCGTCATCCTTGTGAGCTAGACAACTCTTAAAAAACAAACTTTTCTGCCAAGTTTTGTTGAGATTGATGAAGTTGTGTCTAAGAAGAATAATTGTATGACATTATGTGTTGATTTAACCAAACAAGGTCTGTTTGAATCAGATGTACTTTACAATACTAAATACCAGTAATCTCTGTGTATTAGCGATGCTAACATTAAAGTTGATTGATGTTTTTTCTGGAGAAAAGCCTATTTTTCTGTGACCTGGAACTGTAAATAAATCAAAGTAAATATTTTGTTTAACTGAAAAACTATAATGCGACAAGTCAAGAGGGAAAAGAACTACTTCATTTTTATATTTCATCCATAGTCGTTAGTTTTAATGCTTTCTGAATCAGTTCATTTGGTTAGGTAACCTTGCTTATCCAATGAAGTATTTTATATTCTATATTCAAACAAAAGTGTTCTGTCCCAATCTATTAAATCTGTTAAACACATTTGAGTCTGATAACTGTGTTTACTTCCAACTTGTCTTTCGAATGGAAAATGCATTACGGTACATGGAAACATGTTGCTACTAAAATATGTTTTGTCAAAGAGTAGATAGAAGGAGCTTAAAATACAAGAAAATTAATTGTTTTTCCCTATTGTCTTTCAGATAGTGGTAACAATTTGGAAGAAAATGCAGATTCTACATTAAATGATATCCTTCAAAAATCAAAAGACATTCATGTTGCCATAGAAACATTAGGGGATTTAGATAAACCTGAAAACAAGATGGCCGATCAGGATGGAACTCAAGGTGACCTTGACAGTGAGAGAAGGGCATCGATTGAGGGAATGGAATATAGCACAAACAATAATATAGAAGCCAATGCTGGTTATGGTGAGTATAAATATTTGAAGATTTTAGGGTTAAAAAAATACTAACCATACTATCCTATTTTGTACAAAATATATATTTTATCTAGTAAATTAAAATAATAGATATGTGACTTTGGGGGTCATCAGTGAAGATAGAGACTGATGCAATTCAACTGTTGACATCTTTATGGGTAGGAGTGAATAGATTTCAAATTCAAATAACTTAAAATCAGATTCAGATAAGATGATGATTGATTGATTGATTGTTGGTCTTTAACATCACTTTGAACACTCTTGGCTATAATTTGGCGGCCAGTTTTATAGGTGCCGGAAGCCAGAGTGCCTGGAGGGAACTATGATCTTTGGCAGCAATCCTAATTAATTAAGATCGGAGTCTAAAACACTTGCTATGCTGGGTTCAACCTACAACCTAAATGTTGACAGGCCAATGATTGCTGTAGATGAACTACTTAGACCAATTGGCCGTAGTGGCCCCTCAGATAAAATGAGATATGAGGTATACTTTAATGGATAGTAGTTCAATGACACAAAAATAAACAAAACAGTTCATTTCTTAGAAGTTTGATACTATATATGCTTAAGTCATGTAAGGTATTTCATTACTCAGAAAGTCTTACAAGCAAAAGTTGCCATAGTTACCTGTTGTTTACATTTCACCTTTATTAGACTGATTCTGGTTTTGTTGTCAAGATTTTGTGCATTCTGTGAAACTTAGATTTATTTGCTATCTGACTTAATCTCTTGAAATATTAAAATTCCTGTCCTTATCATTTGAAGTGTGGCACATCATTTGATTTCATAAATTATGTAGTACTAAATATAATAATCTTGCAAAAACATCAATGCAGATAAAACCGCAAAATAAATATAAAAAGAATACTAGTATCTCAATTGTTTGTAAAACAATTGAAAGGTCTTTCCTGCAAAAGTGATGTTTTTGTAATGTACTCTTTAAGAGCTTTCATTTGATATACGACAAGCATACTTTCTGAAAATTTTCACTTTTTACACTTAATGACCCCATCCGCCTACATTTTTGATATCGGAAGTATGATATATGTAATCTAGACTTGATTATCTTTCATTTGATATGCGACAACGCCATGTTCTAGAAAGTTTGATTTTGCACTTAATAACCCCATCCAACTAATGTTTTGAGGACGGGAATCTGATATTTGAAATGTACACGGTAAGACCTTTCATTTGATATACAACAACCTTATCTTAAAAGAAAATTTATTTTTTTGCACTCAATGACCCCAACCAACCCATTTTTTGGGGACGTCAATTTGATATTTGAAATGTACGCTTTATGGACTTTCATTTGATATGCGACAACCTAACCATCTGAGAAGTTTTAATTTTTTGCACTAAATGACCCCACCCTTCCCCCTGGGATGAAAAGGGGGTTTTACATTTTCATTTTTGAGTAGAGCTGGTTAAGACCTTCAATTTGATATATCAAATGACCCCATTTGGCAAAGTGCCATAAATGATGCAATATCAATTATATAAATAGAACTTATGAAACTTACAAAGTCAATGCAAAACATGAAAATTTCAAATTGATTTTTTGGTTTTTTTTTTCATTGAATGTTTTTGGTATTTGGTCAAACATATAACCATGTTAAACTCTTCAATTTCTTATAATTTCAGGTGGTTACCTGTTGTTGATTCAGAAATACATGCCTCCGCTCGCAAAATTTCAAAGTGCATTATCTCTTAAACGACAACAGGTATCTCAAATTTGTTAAAAGAAAAATGATCTACAGTAAAAGGACAACATTTTAGAAAAAAAATTGGACATTTCCAAAGTTCATCAAGGTCACAATGAATTATCAAATATATGATGCAATATCAAACTTGAGAACCGTAAGTCGTAGAGACATGGGACTACCACCATTCAACTCAAGACCACTTGAATTCAAATGTCACAAGGTCAAGGTCATAGTACACTCTGAAGGTCAAGGTTAAATTTCATCATGACCTGACATTGACCTCAAATTGAAGGCCTTGAATTACTGATCATCTTTGCAGTTTATAGTAGGTTGATATCTGTTACCTTTTAAAAGATATACATATGTTACTATAGTTTTAAGAATTATGTTAATGTAACTTTTGAACAGACAGTCGGACATTTTTGAGCTTAATGTATAAAATGTAGAGCTCGTCGAGAGGAACATTTTATACACAGTATGTATGCAGCAAACTCTTATGGTTTTCTTAATATGCAAGCTTGAAATTGCAGCGTAAAGTTTTTTTGCACTCTGTGACCTTTGACCTTGGGTGCAAATTGAAGGTCACATGAACTTAAGATTATTGGTGTAGGTCCCAAGTCTCTACGACTTAGGGTTCTCGAAATACAATTTTTCAAAAATTGTGTATATTTTTTTAAGAGAAATAACTCCTTATAAGGGTCAATAACAAAATTATTTTATATGTTCATTAACATTGCCATCAGTTCCTGTATATGTTGCCGTTTTCAAATCGATTCTATCTCTAATACTTTTTGAGAAAAATGCAAAGGAAAGAAATCGCTTCAAGGGGATATAACTCGCATAGGGGATGATGAAATCCTATGCAGTCACATATGGTAGTACATCATGATGAGATCAACCTATTGTCAAAATAAGGTCATGATATCTTCAAAAACAACGAAGGGGGGGCATGTTGAAAAAATCCAATAAAAGGGGGATAACTTCTACAGGGGATGATGAAATCCTTAACAGGGTCATGTGGTAATACTTCATGATGATGTCTATCGATGGTCCATATTTGGTCTTGATAACTTGAACAGAAACGGGGGGAGGGCATTCCCAAAAAAATGTTGGAAGAAAAAAAAGAAAAAAAAAAAAAAAACTAGTATCTCAATTGTTTGTAAAACAATTGAAAGGTCTTTCCTGTTAAAGTGATGTTTTCGTAATGTACTTTGTACGACCTTTCATTTGATATACGACAAGCATACCTTCTGAAACTTTTCGCATTTTACACTTAATGACCCCATCCGCCTTAATTTTCGAGATCGGAAGTATGATATATGTAATGTAGACTTGATGATCTTTCATTTGATATGCGACAATGCCATGTTCTAGAAAGTTTGATTTTAGCACTTAATAACCCCATCCAACTCATTTTTTGAGGACAGGAATCTGATATTTGAAATGTACACGTTACGACCTTTCATTTGATATACAACAACCTTACCTTAAAAGAAAATTTGATTTTTTGCACTCAATGACCCCACCCAACTCATTTTCTGAGGATGTCAATTTGATATTTGAAATGTACGCTTCATGGACTTTCATTTGATATGCGACAACCTAACCATCTGAGAAGTTTGAATTTTTTGCACTAAATGACCCTACCCTTCCCACTGGAATGAAAAAGGGGTTTAGAATTTTCATTTTTGAGTAGAGCTTATTAAGACCTTCAATTTGATATATCAAATGACCCCATTTGGCAAAGTGACAAAAATGATGCAATATCAATTGTATAAATAGAACTTATGAAACTCACAAAGTCAATGCAAAACATGAAAATTTCAAATTGATTTTTTGGGAGTTTTTTTCGTTGAATGTTTTTGGTATTTAGTCAAACATATAACCATGTTTAACTCTTAACTTTCTGAAAATTTCAGGTGGTTACCTGTTGTTAATTCAGAAATACATGCCTCCGCTCGTAAAATTTCAAACTGCATTATCTCTAAAACGACAATAGATATCTCAAATCTGTTAAATGATAAATGATCTGCAGTTAAAGGGCAACATTGTATAAAAATTTGGGACAATTCCAAAGTTCATCAAGGTCACATGGAATCATCAAATATATGATGCAATACCAAACTTGAAAACCGGAAGTCGTAGATACATGAGACTACCACCATTCAACTCAGGACCACTTGACCTTTCAAATATCACGAGGTCAAGGTCATAGTACACTTTGAAGGTCAAGGTAAAATTTCATCATGACCTAACATTGACCTCAAACTGAAGGTCTTAAAATACTGATCATTTTTGCAGTTTATAGTAGGTTGATATCTGTTACCTTTTAAAAGATATGCACACAAAACTATACTTTAAAGAATTATCTCGTTGTAACTTTTGAACAGACGGTCTGACATTTTTGAGCTTAAAGTATAAAATGTAGAGCTAGTCGAGAGGAACATTTTATACACAGTATGTATGCAGCAAACTCTTATAGTTTTCTTAATAAGTAAGCTTGAAATTACAGCGTAATTTTTTTTTGCACTCTGTGACCTTTGACCTTGGGTTCAAATTAAAGGTCACATGAATTAAAGATTATTGGTGAAGGTCCCAAGTCTCTACGACTTCCGGTTCCCGAAATAGATTTTTTTTTAAATTGTGTATAATTTTTAAAGGGAAATAACTCCTTATAAGGGTCAATATCAAAATAATTGTTTATGTTTATTAACAACGCCATTTGTTCTTGTACATGCTGCCATATTCAAATTGATTCTATCTCTAACACTTTTGAAAAAAAATGCAAATAAAAGAAATTGCTTCAAGGGGATATAACTCTCAAAAGGGAAGATGAAATCCTATGCAGCCTCATATGGTAATACATCATGATGAGATCTACCTATTGTCCACATAAAGTCTTGTTATCTTTAAAAACAACGAGGGGGGCCATGTCGAAAAAAACCAATAAAAGGGAGATAACTTCTAAAGGGGATAATGAAATCCTTAACAGGGTCATCTGGTAATACTTCATGATGAGGTCTACCGATGGTCCATATTTGGTCTTGATAACTTTAACAGAAACGGGGGGAGGGCATGTTAAAAAAATGTTGGAAGAAAAAAAAGAAAAAAGAAAAAAAGAAAAAGAAAAAGAAAAAGAAAAAACTAGTATCTCAATTGTTTGTAAAACAATTGAAAGGTCTTTCCCGTAAAAGTGATGTTTTCGTAATGTACTTTTTACGACCTTTCATTTGATATACGACAAGCATACCTTCTGAAACTTTTCGCTTTTTACACTTAATGA